AAACTAAAGACTTAGTATTTGGCTTCACAAACATCTAATATTGAACCAGTGCTGCATTCAACATACAACGTGACACACAAAAATCGATGTTTATCTGTGTTTTTTTTAAATATTTACTTTTAAATTACGAATTTTAGAAATATATAGTACTAAAATTTGAATTATAATATACAGTTTGATACCAAACTTATTGACATAAATTCATGAAATAGTAATTCAATAACATTTTGAATGCGAGTCAACAAATGAGATGACATGGCCTTTCACCCGTGACCCATCTTGAAAGGATTAATTCCTTTTAAGTTTCTGTCATGAAAAATATTCCATTACCATACTTGAATGAATGAACATTTAAATTTTTGTTCTTCGAAGTTCTAATGTACTTACTGAATTATGGTTAATTTATTAATTACGTTATTGCGAATGTGTATTACATACAATTTGTTACTGTTTTTCTTTTTTTAAATATTTTACTTGTTTAAATTTTCAGGCAACATTATAAATTAAAACATTTTTTACTTAATACTTTTAAACAGTTATTTTATTTTCCATTGGTTTTAAGTAATATAAGAACAATGAGATTTATATAGACCTTAGCTAAGTTCACCAAGAAAACTGGTTGTGATTAGTGCTTTTGTGCAGAAAATCAAACTTTCACAACTTATAACTCAAAATCCAGGAAGTTATCAGAAAGAAAGTACTGGAAAGCCTCAGGGTGGCATTCACTGTCTTGCCAGATGGGTTTCTTTAAAGTAGACTTCTTAAGCATTTTGTCATTTAAATTGAAATTATTTTTATTCTTTTATAAGACTATCTCAAAATAGAACATCAACCATGCAGAAATGCTCTTTGTTGATTTTTTTTATCATAATCACGTATTGTATGGTGAGTCTGAGGGTACGTAATATGCATATTGACTTCATGTAGCTAAAGATATGAAAAACTAGGGACCTCTGTAAGGTCATTCTCTTTAATAATTGACCACTCAGAAACAAGAGCCTAGTAGTATTATAATGAAGGCTACTTTGAAACTTCTTCTCTTGTTTGAAGAAGAATCATTTAGGGACAAAGTTTTTGAATTTTACACCAGCTCTAGACATTTTTCTCCACTGAAACACAGACGATTAAAATAATGTGTGATTATTAGAAGAAGGTGAGGCTCAGTCTTTTAATGAGAAAGTGTTAATCCTATTGCATTGGGCTCGTGTATTTTACTATACCTTCTGACGATATGTAACCATGGTGGTATACATACTACGACTCTGAAAATACTTACTTTATCTTCACAAAATTTGGCAAGCTTTGAGTAAATATTAAAAGTCTTTTGTACGTCAAAAATCAGAAATGTAAATTAGTTATTTTTACTTAAACTTTGTTCCTAATTATATAGTGTCAAAGTATTGATTACTGTGAGTGCAAAGTGATTTTTCATGTTAAGATTAAAAAGACTTTTCTTAATCTGAAAATTTTTAAATTTAATTAGATAATCCCCAGAACCTTCTACATAAGTATCAAATGTTTGTTTGTTTTGCAGAAAATTTTGTATTTTATCTATTAATTTCTATACTATAACTTTAAACAGGATCAGTCAATTTGATCGACCTTGTAACCACTAGTAAAGAATTATGAAATAATTCTAGATTCCTCTTTTTTTGCCTTTCTAGAATGATTGCAAATTTTAACAGGAAATCACAATTGTTTATCATAAATAGCTTAAAGCTTGTAAGACTACATTTATCTATACTTTACTTTTTGTTTTATTGCCTTTTGAACCGTGTCTAACTAACAATCCTGCCACATAAGTTGTAAAATAGTTGACGAACATGTAGCTCACATTACCCTACTGAATTACATAGTGCACGAGCTACTTTTGAATGTACCTTGTGAAGAAATTTATTATTATTTTTTTTTTATCTTACCTGATAAATTTACCTTAAAATTGTAGTTACTTGTATAATAATGAATAAAGAATACACATGAAAAAACAAGAAATACAGTCTTTTTATTTGCTGTCAGCTGTTGATGAAACTTAAGCCTGCTTTTTTATATTAATGGTACTACTACTACTACACTAAATGCTTTTTTATTTAATTAAATGCTGCACCTAAGAACACAGAATAATAACACATAAAAAACATACAATGTCCTATAACTATCATAATTTTTTTGTCTTTCTAACTATGCAATAAGAGCTGTTAAAAATTCAGCTAGGCTTTTTGTGTCCAATGGAAATAAAGTTTGATCTGGAAGTAAAATTGACAATTCTATGTAAGAAAACAAAGTAATATAATATGACATTCCACAGATTAAAACTTTGGCTTTCTGTTGGTTATAAATAATAAAGTATGAAATGTCAGAGAAAACCATTGGCAATTTGTGAAAGAGATGTGACAGGTGGGTGTGGCAAGTGGGTTTAATTTTTTAGTGTATAGCTCCCTAGACAGATAAGATTATGCTATAAATATTATGCTTTACTTTAGTAATATCTATATTATAATAAGTGATTTACATTAAATTCCATACTTCTTGGAGGTGTGGTAAATAAATTAGAGAAGATTGAAAATCTATAGAGCATATGTCGTAGTTCTCACAGTAGGAGAGATTGTGGATTTTTAAAAATATTTACTTATAAAATTAAGAACTTTAAACTTAAATAATATTGAAAGTGGATGTATTAACTACATTTTGATGCCAAGTTTATTTGCATACATTGATAATAAAGTAGTTTAATTAAATTTTGAATGTAACTGTAAAAGGTTGTGATATGCACACTTTGACCTGCCTATTGCAAAAGGGTAAATGTGTTCTTCCAGTCAACATTTGAAACACATTTTTTTTGCTGTAGTAGAATATTTTAGAGGAACCAGCTAGATGTTCCACAAAGAATAAGAGGATACAAAATCTTTAAGAACTGATAATACATTTGGGATTTTAAAAGACTGAAGAAACAGGGAAATAATTTTCAGCCCTCATAGTGAGGAAGCATTTGTTGTACTGTCTACGTTTGTTTTAGATAAAAGTAAAAATGTAATTAAGAGTTGCAGTCTGGTGCTTGTTTCCTCTTCTGATCGACCGCTACTTGATTCTTGTGGAGTCATATATAGATTACTGAATTGTACATCCATAAGAAATGCATGTTTATTATAGAAATAATTGTTCAAATTCTGAACACAATTATGCGGATTATTGATTAACTCTCCCATTGTGAAGATTTGCCAACATAAAAAAAAAATCACTTGGATTGTGAAAAATCCAGATTGCCAATGTCTACACTAACAAGGATTTACTGTACATTAACCTTATCGACACGGGTCACAGGTCAAATGCCATGTGATCATGTTTGTTGACTTGCATTCGAAATTTTATTTCACTACTATTTTATGAATTTATGTCAATAAGTTTGGTATCAAATTGTACATTATAATTAAAATTTTAATATTATACATTAGTTAATTTCTTAATTTAAAAGTAAGTATTCAAAAAACACATCACATTAAATATCGATTTTTGTATGTCACTTGGTAACTTGAATGCAGCATTGGTTCAAATTAGATGCTTGTGAGGTTCAAATACAAAGTCTATAGTTTCTTATGAATTAGGAACTCAAATTACCAATATTGACAAGCTAGAATATAAAATAAGAACCTCCTATCTTTTCTATTTGCTGAGATATCGCTACATTTACTGACTCAAACACAGTGGCCCCACCCACCTCTTTCCATTTTTGGAAACACTTGCTTACATACATCTACTTCTGTCTCTGACGTGTGAATAACCAAATGAAAGGTCAAAATGTCCCCCTAGTGGCTTTCTCAGCCCTTTTGAAATATTCAGACTACAAACTCTTTCTTTTTTATGCTAGATTCAAAGTGGTAAGGTAAGACTTTAGTGAGCTAGAAATTTAATATTTTTTTTAGACCCAAATACAGCTTAGTTACTAAGCTTGATAAGTTATAGTGGAATTCTATGGTACTGATTTATGATTTATGGTTATTTAAAAATGTATATGTAAAACCTAAAAAAATTATTTTCTTTCGCATCCTCCATATGCAAAATTTGATAAGGCTTAGCAACCTATGGCAAACAGCAAATGAGTACAAAGTTTGTAACTAGAAGAGATAATTGTTTGCTATACTTTTTTATTTACTGTTCATTGTTTTAAGAGAAATAAGTTTAAGAACGTATTTGTAAATAGTAATAATGTATATACATATATAATGTATTATAACTGAAATGTGACTGTATTTTACAAAATACTAGTCCACTAAAACACAGCCAAGACAGGTCACTTTGTAAAGGCCAGTTTTATACTCTTGGATACGGTAACATGAGTGCACGTGTGCCGCGTCATTGCAACTTTTGTAATGTTAGCCACGCACGGCTGAAAAGTTTAATATAATGAAAATAATAAATATGTATAAATGTATAATGTTATGAGATTTAAGCTATTTAGACTAAACATTTGTGTTTTCTTGTTACAATTTATAGTCATTCTAGAACAAAAAAGCATAATATGTATTTATTTCCTAATTTTTTATGGTGATTACGAGGTCGGTCAAATTAACCAAGCCCATACAGAGATTCGGTAGTGAAAATAACAGATGAAATATAAAGTTTTTCTTCAAAAACATTTGATAATTATCTGGAGGTTATAAAAATTTTGCATGTGAGCCCATGCTGAGAGAGTTAATAGGTAAATTGTACTTAATATTACAATTTAACATAAATTTAATCAACAAAGAAATATGAGCAGAGTATGCCTAAAACTTCCTTTTAACAAAATAAAAATACTGAGAATAATTATTATAGAGCAACAAAGATTATAATACAGGGGCAACCACGCAACCCATTCATTCTTTATTTATGTTTCTGTTGAATTTAACAGAACCCATTGTCCACCAGTCACTCCTGTTGAGCCCATTAGCAACATTAATTGGACCCATTGTTTGTTTGTTTTTTGAAAGAGAGGGCATTCCTGAGTTAATGTTCTTATGTTTTAGGACTTGGTTAAGGACCTCAAGAGTGAGCTGAGTGGAAGGTTTGAAGATGTAATAATGGCTCTTATGACTCCTTTGTCAGACTTTCTGGCTTCAGAACTACATCAAGCTGTTTCTGGATTAGGAACAGATGAACATGCTTTAATTGAAATCCTTTGTACGAGAAATAATCATGACATTCGTCAGATAACTGAAGCCTACAAGAAGTGTAAGAGTATTTGAAGTTTCTGTCAAAATTTTTAGATGAATTGTGAAATGTGATAACATTTCATGTCAAGACCTCTTGCTCCTTTTTAATATATACAGTCTAGTCCTTCCTGAATCTTTATAATAGAAAAAGACTGTTTTACAAAGTTTTTTATTTGATTCTAGAAACTACAGAATCAAACCAAACACTTTCTATAAGTTTTTTCAAAGTAAGGTCAGTTTTTTGTAGATCAGAAAAATAAAAATGCATATGAAACAGTGATTTTTAGTTTTTCTGAAACAGTAAGAAGCTGTAACAACTGTTATATGGGTTAAAGTAATTGAAATGTATATTTTAAAATATTGTGTCATTTTATTTAGAAGTGACTGATTATTTATGAAAATTTAAGTATTTCACCAAATTTGAGAAAAATTTGTCTGAAAACATTTCATTTAGGGAAATAACCAAGAAGATGAATGGGTTAAGCCTGATAGTTTGAATATATTAATTTCAAGTCACTAAAAATCTTTTAGAAGATAAGATGTAAACTATTTAGATATATGGAAAATTAATCACACACACACAGAACCTAAGTTATTACATCAATATAAGACAATATTAACAAGAAATATATTGTTAAAAATAAATAATTTGTAAACTCTTAACATTGAAAGCAGTGATGTTACTTAACAATCACTTGTGTCTGAGGAAAGTGGTCAGCATGACCCTTGCTTGTGCTCTTCACTTGTAGTATTTTACTTGAAACATTGGCATCCAAGTTAATGAACTTTTGGATTACTGGTAGAAGTAAAAGTCTTATGAGAAGAGTGGTTCAAATGAAAAAAAAATTAATTTAGGTGCATTTAAGCACAGTTACATGTTAGGCAAAATGGATGATATCAGAAAGTCTAAAGTTTAAAATGGATGATATCAGAAAGTCTAAAGTTTAAAATGGATGATATCAGAAAGTCTAATGTTTAAAATGGATGATATCAGAAAGTCTAAAGTTTAAAATGGATGATATCAGAAAGTCTAATGTTTAAAATGGATGATATCAGAAAGTCTAATGTTTAAAATGGATGATATCAGAAAGTCTAAAGTTTAAAATGGATGATATCAGAAAATCTAAAGTTTAAAATGGATGATATCAGAAAGCCTAAAGTTTAAAATGGATGATAGCAGAAAATCTAAAGTTTAAAATGGATGATATCAGAAAGTAAAGTTTAAAGCAGAAAACTCATCATGGACTAAATGTGCTATTAATCGATCATGACTAACATATTGGTCATGACTAACATATCGGTCATGACTAACATATTGGTCATGCTGATTTTGTGATGTATCCCCGTTGCAAAGTGAAATAAGTAGGCTTTGATTGACTTTTACAGTCATGAATGACTTTTGAGTAACAATTTTAATACTGGTACCAAAATAATCAGTTCATTGGTTTTCTTGTACAATTGAATTTCTTGCTAATTGAATAATTGTGAATAATTACAAAGTCTGATATATCAAAAATTTAAATTTTTTAAAGTAAGAATTTAAATTTTAATATGGGCTCTATTTTTTATAAAATCCTTTTCATAATACAGTGTATCGGCAGTCTTTAGAGAGAGATTTGATTGGAGATACATCAGGTTACTACAGAAGATTGTTGGTTTCTATGACTACTGTAAGTTGAAATCTTGTAGAATTTATTACCTGTGATCATAACTGATGATTTTAATTTAGCTCAAAAATTTTTGGTTCACAAGTGACATTTAAAAAAGATTTTAATTAAATCAACTGATTCATAAACATTAGAATCTTTTAAACTTAGTAATATTTGTACTTCAAAGATTGTGGAAATCTCTACTGGTCAGAAGTAAAATAGAAGAAAGTAGGAAATTGAATTTGTTGAATTTCAGTGTCTATATTTTATCACTGATTATTTTTAGAAAATCCAAAAGTACTGCACGTAACATTTTCATAAAGTTAATTTCTTATAAATGATTTTACTACATATACATTAAACATGCATCTAACAACCAGTTTCCATTATAGTATTGAACAGTTAATGTTTCTTATACATTTATGAATAAGTATACCTGTGTGTATTCATATAAATAAAACATTTTATATGAGGTACTTCTTTAATGTTGGCCAGAAAAGCAGAAAAACATGATACTGTATTGATTATGGTAACTGACTGCAACAAGCAGGAAAACATCATACTGTATTGATTATGGTAACTGATTGTAAAAAGCAGGAAAACATGATACTGTATTGATTATGGTAACTGATTGTAAAAAGCAGGAAACATGATACTGTATTGATTATGATAACTGATTGTAACAAGCAAGAAAACATGATACTCTATTGATTATGGTAACTAATTGTAACAAGCAGGAAATCATACTGTATTGATTATGGTAACTGATTGTAACAAGCAGGAAAACATGATACTGTATTGATTATGGTAACTGATTGTAACAAGCAAGAAAACATGATACTGTATTGATTATGGACTGATTGTAACAAGCAGGAAGACATGATACTGTATTGATTATGATAACTAATTGTAACAAGCAAGAAAACATGATACTGTATTGATTATGATAACTGATTGTAACAAGCAAGAAAACATGATACTCTATTGATTATGGTAACTAATTGTAACAAGCAGGAAATCATACTGTATTGATTGTGGTAACTGATTGTAACAAAAGTCGAGGGAAAGTTGTACAGAATTTCAAAGACAAACTATTGTTATGGTTAAAGTCTAAAAAAAGTATTTTTTAACATAGACAATAATCATTATTTATATTAATTCAGGGAGGAAGAGATGAAGGACCTGCAGATCCAGCTAAAGCTAAACAGGATGCTCAGGTGAGAAATCATTTTTAGATATATCAATAAAAAGTCCAAAGTGAAACTGATGAGCTAGTAACTAGTAGATGATAAGTTCAGAAAGCTTGAGATCCTGGGTTCAAGTCTTGATATAAGCAGTTCATTTTTGTGTCCTGAAATTACACCAAGGTGAAGTTAACTAAAAAGTTATTATAAGATAAATCTCCCCACACTTTTACAGTAACATTATCTCTGTCAACATGGATTTTGTTAGGTTAAATAACATGTGAAGATTTTGATTTTGTTGTACAAATACTTTTTTGTTTCAATCTTGATTGTTAGAATACTTAAATTTTCAAATTATAGTGAAAAAAAATTAAATAATTCTTTAGTCAAACCAGAGTTTCTGCTTCATCTCTTCAAAGCTGAATTTGATACATATGTTATTATATCATTATTCAGGATGTTGACTCCTTGTTTATCATGTTGGAATACAAGTTATTGCATAATTGTTTTGTGTTTAACCTCTGTTTATTGCAAAGTATTCTAAAGTGATTTCTGTTGTTTAAGACTCATAACGTAGGTGAATTAATATGTAGAATTATACATGGACTTTTCTCTACAATAAAATATTTTTATTTGTGAGCTTTTGGCCCTCTTACCGGAGCCTTCATCAGGCAACAAGTTTGTGTATGATTCTACATACTAAAGTGATTTCTTTTAACCTCAAATTAATAAAAATTAGTAAAAGCTGTTCTAGAAAGCCTGAAGGTAAGCCTCAGGTATTATATAACCTAAAATATAATACCAAGTTCTAACTGATAAAGATGTTATAAAACCTAACATGTAATATGAAGTTACAACTAATGAATATGTTATATAACTCACTATGTAACACCAATGTGTAACTAATAAAAATGATATATAACCTAATGCATAATACCAATTTCTTACTGATAAAGATGTTATAAAACCTAACATGTAATATGAAGTTATAACTAATGAATATGTTATATAACTCACTATGTAACACCAATGTGTAACTAATAAAAATGATATATAACCTAATGCATAATACCAATTTCTTACTGATAAAGATGTTATGTAAACTATCACATAATACCAATTTGTAAATAATAAAAATGCTATATATAATCTAATGTATAATACAAGTTTCTTACTGGCAGAGATGCTATATAACCTAAAATATAATACCAAGTTGTAACTGATAAAGATGCTATGTAACCTAACATGAAATATCAAGCTGTAACTGATAAAGATGTTATCTAACCTATCATATAATACCAAGTTCCAACTGATAAAAATGTTATATAAATTAATGTACAATACCAAGTCATAACTGGTAAAGATATTGTATAACCTATCATATAATACCAAGTTCCAACTGATAAAAATGGTATATAAATTAATGTACAATACCAAGTCATAACTGGTAAAGATATTGTATAACCTAATATATGATATCAAGTTGTAACTGATAAAGATGTTATGTTATCTAACATATAATAATAAGTTCCAACTGATTAAGATGTTATATAACCTAATGTACAATACCAAGTCATAACTTATAAAGATATTGTATAACCTAACATATGCCACATTGTAACTGTACAAGAAGATAAAAATTCTTTAATATATTCTAAAATTAATGTAAGATACTCTGTTAATATGTTGTTATTTTTTTTAAAATTTATCATGAAATATTGTAACAGAGTCTTTACAATGCTGGAGTAAAGAGATGGGGAACAGATGAATCTACATTTAATGCCATCATGGCATCTCGAAGCTTTGCTCATCTAGGCCTTGTATTTTTGGAATATCAGAAAATAGCAGGACATAGTGTGCCTCAAGCAATTGAAAGGGAATTCTCTGGTGACATAAAGCAAGGCTTATTAACCATAGGTGAACATTAGCTTTGTCAGTATTCTAATTGTTGTTAATGCATATTCTGAGTATTAGCATCATTAGTGGTCATTTTTGTTGATTTCATGCAGTCTTTGAGTGGTTTTAATTCACACATCAAATGTTGTGGAAGAAATATGCTAGACATTAACCCTTAGAGAATGGATGAGTCAAAATGCATGTTACTACCTACTTACAGAGTTTAGTTCAGAATTTAATTAAACAACTTTATCATCAATGGCATTAAAACATAGTTTATAATTTAAATTTTTATATTATCTATATTTGAGTTTTTTAATTTCTAGAGGACATATTCTGTATCATGTGACTCTTCTTCATTCTGAATTTGCCAATTTTTTTTTTTTCTACTTGAACCTTCTGTGGAATTTTACATTTATACTATACATATCCTTGAATTAAACTGTCAATTTGTAGTACAAAGCTTTTTCTTTTATGGAGCTATAAGCAATAAACTGTAGGCCACATGACATGCCCCTCCAAGTACATCCTCTTTTCAAAAAATGTTTCTAATTGTATGTGAATTACTCATCCAACATCTAGCATAGTTAGAAGGCCAGATAGATTATATTAATTTTAGGACATTCTATGTTATTTAGTGTCAATATTCCATATTCTAACTTGCATATCAGAATTTAAAAACTTTTTCTCACACCACACTATCGTTAGTTAGATTTAGGCCTAGAGTTTCACATAGACTTCTGAAATATGAGTATGTAAGATTGGGAAAGACAATTTTCAGACATAAGTACTAAATTTCTTTTTTTTAATGTGTATTTTTTATTTATTCTAAAAGTAACTAAGGTGTCAGAATTAGAAACTTATTTGTTAAAAAACAAAATACTTGTACAATTGTAAAGAAATATAACTAAATGAAAAATTTATTAGCTATAGCTGTAAAAATGAATAGTTTATAATTGTTTGTCACAATGTGTTGTCATTCTAGAAAGAAAAAGAGGTCATTTAGATTATTTAATATTTTTTTATTACATAGTGGTTACAAGTTTGGTCAAATTGACCAAGGCTGATACAGTTAGTGTTAGGGTAGGGAAAATAACAGATAAAATATAATGTTTTACTGAAAAATAACTTTTGACATTTATGTTGAAAGTTCTAGAGGCTATACAAATGAAATATGAAACTGTAAGGTGAAAAGTATTATTTTTATTCTTACTAGAAAATCACCTTGCACTCGGACTGACTCGGTAAAGGCTTTTTAAATTCACAGTCAAATCTTTAGTAAAAAACATAGTTAGAAAATCTGATATTTTGTGTGCAACAGGCTTGTAATGTTTACTAAAAGCCTATCCAATTTGGTGATGATACAAGTACTACATTAAAAGTTGTAGTATGTATAGTTTCATGATTACAAGGTCAGTCAAATGATCAACTGTGTTAGATGGTTAATATTTTACTGCTCAAAAAGAGCTCCACAACACAGTTCATGTAACAAATTTAATCACTGTATACCTTCCTAAACTGAAAGGTGTAGCTAAGTATTATTAAAACATAACATTGAGCCTGGCATGCCCAGCTGGTTAGGGCACTCGACTTACAATCTGCAGATCACGGATTCAAATCCCCATCCCACCAAACATGCTCGCCCTATCAGCCCTGGGGCATTACAATGTGATGGTCAATCCCACTATTCATTGGTAAAAGAGTAGCCCAAGAGTTGGCGATAGGTAGTGATGACCAGCTGCCTTCCCTCTAGTCTTTCACTTCTAAATTAGGGATGGCTAGCCCTCATGTAGCTTTGCATGAACTTCTAATAAAAACATTGATCTTATTTCAATTTAGCATTGAGTCTTTGCTAAAATTAGTGACTGAGTAGAGTAAAGGCAGAAAAAGGCTCTAGGGCATAATTCCTAAACTAAAATATTGGGCTGTGTTAGAATTAGTTCTGTACGTACACATTTATTAATGTATTTTTGTAACAAATTTTACTCGTTCTAGAATCTGATCTGTCAAATTAGCATCTTGAGACTATTTGTAGTTTGAAAACTCAGGTGGTTGAATGATTTTTTGATTTTCAACAGAAATTTGGTTTTAAACACAACTTTGGAATGATTTTAATAAATTACAAAACATATTGTTCATGTAAACTTGCCTTGCTTTAAATTGTATTTGATATTTGTTCATATAATCTATGTATCTTAATTTTTGTAACCAGTAAATAAACATTGTAAATCCACAAGTCGAGCAAACAAGAGTTATTTGGAAATTTGAAAGTTATGTTATGAAAAGTACTTGTGTGTGTGTTTTAATACAGCACGATGTGTGGAAAACAGACCTGCATACTTTGCTGAGAAGCTTCACAAAAGTATGAAGGTGAGTTTATTTCACATCCTATTATTGTATTTTGTTGAATGATTTCAGAATACATATTTAGTCACTTATGCTTTGGACTTGTGCTGACTGAAAATTGTAGACAACGATTTGTAGCTCTGAACTAAACAGATGATTGTATTTACTTGAAATGAAACTATATTGTAAGTAGATCTAAAAACTAGTTTTGGGATATTTGGCTATGGTGCATTTAATAAAATTAGTCGTAACTGATAGTTCAGATATTTTATCTCCTAGCTTATAATTCTACGTATGTATTTATAATGAAAAACTTTTTTATGGGTAGAATTATTATTTTTCGTGTTGCTTAAAAAATGTGTGCATGCCAGTTATCTTTGAATCTAAACCTATAAAATGTGGTTGAAGTTTTATTTAATACAGTAAACTGTTTTACTTTAATGTTTGTGTTGTTAAGTATTTTAACTTATGATTGTACTGTGGTTCATCTCTTCATAGTTTGCCAGACAGGGATTGTCTTTTTTTTTATTCAAATTTATACTTATACTTTAAGAAGTACAGTGCATTATACAATTTTAACTATTTTAATTTTTCGTTAGGGTTTAGGAACTCTTGATCGTACATTGATTCGCATTGTCACAAGTCGCTGTGAGATAGACATGGTACAGATAAAACAGGAGTATCAGAAAATGTTTGGAAAACCCCTAGAAAAGGACATTTCTGTAAGTAATGTTGTTGTTATTCATATCAACAATACTTAAAAACACTTCCTTCATTAAAAGATTTTGAAATAGTATTATGTTATTCATATAATACTATTTCAAAATCTTTTAATGAAGGAAATTTCTGTAAGTATTGTTGATGCTATCCATATATACGTTTTAATAAAGACTAAACAAACATTTGTATGAGCATTATCCATAAGTTGTTTTTTAGGTAACTTGAGTGCAACATTCTGAACATTTATAACTAAACTTTAGTAAAATTTCCAGCATTTATGCATCTTTTTTTCAAAAGGGAAACTTTGTTATGGGTTTGGAAAATTTTTAATTGTTTAGCTGAAAAAGCTGGGTTAAAAGAACTGAATGTTATTATAATGTTTCAGAGAATTGTAAAAGTATTTTAAAATATTATGTCATATATTTGTAACTAGCCTACCTATCATTTTTGTATTTTCCAACAATGAGCTTGAAATTCTATTCATATGAATCTTCTAAGCATAAGTTTAATATTAGGGAAGATTATATTAGTTTCAAAAATTAAATTATTTGTTTTCTTATTTCTATGTCTCTCTCTCTTAGTCAGACTTGACTTTTGCTAGCTACTTGTCATATTAAGAGCTTTGCCATTTTCTTGAAAACAAGATTTAATCATATGTAATAGATCAGAAAACAGGTTATAGTCTTGCATGTTATGGATAATTTTTATGAACTAACAAAACCCCATAGTAAGTTTACCCTTAAACAATCAATACATCAGCTTTCCTTTCTTTATGTAATGATTAAAGTTAAAGACAAATTACCCATCACCTGTATGTAAAGCCAACACATTGTGGAATCTGTTTAAACCATAATACTGCACATCTTCCTGCAGTAAAACAATGTTGTTCTCTGACCATTCAAATAGCAAAGAAAAAGCTCATACACAATCACTTAAATCTTATTGGGTAACGTATATCCTAGCAGAGTTTTAGAGAAACCAAAAAAGAAAACTTAACACAATTGTATTAAACCAAAAAAATGTATGATTGATGTGTTCACTTTAGTTTTATCGTATATCTCCAACTGTATTAGCGATATAACTTGTAATCTTCTCCAAAAAAAGTAGTCAGAACATTAGGATGTGTGAGATGCCAGGATCTAAATTGAAAACTATTCTTATGAGATCTGGACTTGAATCACATAGATGCTCCCTTAATTGCGGGCCCTGCTTAACAGACCTTAAAGTTGGATGCATAACCTGTTAAATTCTTTACAAATTAACTTGCAATAGATGCAGAACTATTTAGATTAATAAATACAAAATAAAATGTCTCTCACTTTAAAATCATGGGTGGCTAGTGCATATAACCTTCAAGAAGTTTGCTTGAAATTAAAAAACAAACAACTTCTTATGGCTGCTTTGAGTCTGTGAAATGTTATAAGTCGAAACACTGTCAATCCTAGAAACATTTCCAAGTTGTCCAGTGATATATGACAGGGAGGTGTTTTATGGAATGTCTGTTCCATTCCTGCTGACAACATTTGGACAAAAGAGGCACCATCAGGAACTCTTGTATTCGTGTGCAGAATATTGCTATGAAAGACCTTTGATATGTGTTAAAGTATCTGTTTTTTTCTTTTTTTTCATATCTCTCAGTTTCATCAGGAATTCTTGCATTCGTGTGCAGAACATTGCTATGAAAGACCTTTGATATGTGTTAAAGTATCTGTTTTTTTCGTTTTTTTCATATCTCTCAGTTTCAACAATGACGGTAGTCATTTCTGATTCTTATATCTGAGGATCTCCCAGAGATTTCCATCTTTACATTGACATCTAATAAACAGATGTGAGTAAGTGAGCTGTCATTTTTCAATGTGGGCTTTGTTGAGCCTGGGTTGGTAAACAGTAAAAGTTTATTTTGGAAAGTGGGACATCTGATGGGTCTGGGCCATTCAACAGACCTCTCCCTTATAAATGCAGCATACTGGTCCTGTCCCATAGTGGTTACTGTTTGAATAGTTTCCACCACCTCCTGGCTCATAATATTCTTAGTGTCCTCAGAAGGTAAGGTGCCCACTATCTTCTGTCAGTGAGTTTTTCACGTAGTCAAATACTGAAACCAATGCTTTCACATCTCCAGCAAATGCAAGCTGCACACTTGTGATTCAGTAATAATGATAATTGAAGACTTCCTGGTTCCTTTCTCAAATTCCAGGATCATTCTAGAGATCTTAGAACCTGTCATCATCCATTACTTAAATTCTCTAGGATTGTTTGTCATATCTACAGCACCGCCATCTTATGGAATCAGGGCATTACACTGTTTATGAGCTTAGTAAAAGGCTGTGGTGGAGAAGGTATGCTTCATCCTCTGTGTACCAACAAAACTGTATACAAACTGCAATGGATCTGCAACATTTTCTTGTATCACTCATCAAATCCCAGTAGATCTTCAGGGTTGAATCTAGGAATTTTAATGGTGTGACCTGGTTAGCATGTCTGGGTCTGGTAGTTTGGATTAGGTCTGTGAATAATCATCCACACCAGGAATGGCAATACCAGATGTTGAAATGGCACTAGTTCATCCACAGTAGCATGCCATGTTTTTTTTAGCAAGGCAAACAACAACTTTTTAGATAGCAGGTGACAACATCGTAGTCTATTTTTATATATTTGCATAAACTGCTTGATTTCAATTTTCAGTAATAATGTTAGGAATAACAATTGTGTTTTAGCCTATGATACATTTGGATAAATTGGTACTATATTTAAATAATTGATATAATAGTTCACTAAAATGAAAAATGTTTCATATACATTTGAAGGACATGAAGATGATTCATATTCATGAAATACATTTTTACCTTAAAAAAAAGGTAATATTTTATCAGCATTCTACCAATTAGCATGTCTCTGACTATTACATAATAAAATGAAATTCAAGTAACTGTGCAAATACTATTAAATTCTTATTTGAGAATATGTAATCTGTTTGTGTCAAATATAGAGCTTCTATACCGATGTATTACATTGTTAGTCTAACCATATTATCACTATGGGCATCAACTACTTGTAGTAGTGAACATGTCCACAAGGGGGTGCTGGGATTGTTCTGTTAAAAGTTAAAACAATCAATTGGTCGGAAGTATAAATGTACCAAGTTCCCTGTTTCTACCCAAAAGTATAGTATTTATCCCAAATTCAGATTTTGGCTGCATTACTACAATAAAGAGTTTTTATAGTCTGAAAATCCAAAGAAATGGTTCAAATTGTTATAAATGAAATCAAAATACTTATTTTAAAGTTTTGTTCTAAATGACTTTCACTATGATATGTATCAGAAAAAAAACCCAATAACTGAAATGCTTTCAAAAAATGAACTTTTTGAAAGTACTCTGGTTATCGAGTTTATTTTCTGATACTAATTTTTTAAGAGCTTTTGTGGAAAATCAATGTAAAAGTGAGAGGGTGCAAGAGTACTGAGACTTCTGTATACTAATATACACCTCCTGCCTTCCAAAATATGGAATACATACTTCTCTAACTCACCATTTCTTTCGGTTTTCAGCTTTTGTCATGCTGTTTTTTTTAACGTTGCTTTTAAAGATTTTAATTATTTTATTTCACTACTTAATTTTAAAAACTTTGCAAATATTTCATGTAGGATGACACTTCTGGCGATTACAAGCGTGTTTTGATTGCTCTGATTGGAGGGGCCTGATAGAGAGCTATGACCTTCATCAAAGTTGTATTTTTCATAAAGAATTCATACTTAAATGATGAATGCTTGATAAGTATATAAGAAACAAAATGAATATTTTTTGTTTTATTTTAGGTAAGAGGGAGCTCTAGTTTTGTAGAATAACATTTATGTATTAATGTTTCCTTTTCAAACAATATATATATATATAAATAACTACAGTAAACCATCTTGAAATATTTCTTGTTACCATATTCACTAACATATAGCATGACACATATATTTATTGTGATTTCTATGCTTCCATATTATATTTTAAAGGTACAATCAGACAATCTTTATTTTATTGTATTATTTCTGTTCACTTTTTGATATAAATTGTTTTTAATTTTGTTTGAATTATGAATTCCATTAGTCTTGATGTTATTATTTTACATGTAATTTCTTTGATATAGCATTTTAGGATGGGTAAAAGAAATATTTTATTGCAAACGTTAATGCATTTTTTTATTATTTATGTGTTGTTTGTGAGATTTATAATCTTGATGATGTCAGAAGTGAGAGGATTAATGATATTTTACCTAGCTTCAAAATAATGACTTACTACTATATAACACTGTTAGATCATGTTTTACATAATACAGATCTCCACAGAAAAGTATTAACAATGGTCACGAGAAAAATATATTGTCAGAGTATTTTTAAAGCATATAACTGAATTTCTGTGACATAAATTATAAATATTCTTTTTAAATTTTATTTTGATATAGAAAATTATTTGTAGAATTTGGTGAGTATGATTTTGGTATTAATAAGCAAAAACGTATTAGGTAAATCATTTTTGTTTTGGTCTTGTTATTCTGTGGATTGAAAATTTTAATTATTCTGTTACACTTGCTGTTTAGTGTTTATGAACAGATATAAAGCTGAAGTTGTTTATTGTATAAGTTAAAATACTTCATTAGAAATAGATTTAATGTTCTATATTTATAAGAAAATAAAACTTTTCTTTTTTACTGGCATTGCAATCTGTTGATTAATAAAATGTATATTATATAAATATAAAGATAAGCAGAACGAAAAGACTTAATTGCAATAACAGATCATGTTAATTTCGACTTTTAAAACTTTATACATTGCAAAATAAGAACAACTTGTGACAGAAGTGTGAATATTTATAAAAAGAATAGTAGTCTTAAATGTGACATCTGAATCATACATTAAACAATAAACTGAAGTTGAGATATTAGGTAAAAACTGTTTATTTATTAATTATGTTTAATTTTTTCAGGATTGGAATAGTTCCTTCACTTTTGAAAGTATGTTGTGCATGTGATTGCATTTTTGGTGTTTTAAATTTGCAGAGTGTAAGCTGTTTGTTTCCCCTAGAACCTAAATCCTTAATACAATAGCTATATTATTTGTCATTCTTTAATTATTTGAATAGTTATACTTATAGAATATAAAATAAACTTCACCCTTTAAGAAGGTATAGATTTATCACTAAAGAAACTTGATTTTCAATCCATCCACTTTCAATTTTAATCAGTGTTATTTGTAATGAATAAGAGTTTAACTTTGCTACTGAGTGTTTAGTAGTTTGAAATGACAATTGATATATCAATATACTAATCAGTTTCTCCATTCTAGTAATGCCAAATTCATTGAATTTTGTGATAACGACGTGACATTAATTAATGTATGTAATTGTGACATTGATTAATAAATTATATGGTCAAATCCAACTATTCAGTCTGTCAAGAGTTGATGGTGGGTGGTCTTGAGTAGTGTAGTTAGCCATGGAGCAGCTTTGCACAACATTCAACAAACAAACAAAAATTATATCACTAGAGGTTGGGAGTTTATGGATCCAATATTCTTGCTGCTAAACCAAGGAAAGTAATGATAGCAAGTATTTCATTTGTCGTATATTATAATTATAAAAAGTTTCAGTATTAAAAAAACCGATTAAATTAGAAAAGAATAAAAGTATTATATTCTTACAAAATATCCCCTTAATTAAGTACTGAACAGTCTTATTATTCACATATTTTTTCTTTGGTAATGAAACTTGTGGAAATTTGGTATTAGCAATGTTACATTCTCACTAGAAAGAGTTCGAAAATTATCTTTAATGATACCAGTTAATTTCTAAATACCAATATTTTTTTTTTAGTTTCATAATATAGCAATTACATCTCAAAAGTATTCTACTTTGCCAGTAATTCTAATACCATAATATAGTTTTCGCAGATTTTGGTGTTATTTGTGTAATTATTGTAATCCATAAATAATATGCTTGCTTATTTTTGTTTGGAACTTTTCTCGATCAAACACTACAAATCTCATATTTTTAGATAGGCATTTGTCCAAGGAATCTGAAATACATACGGGATTTTCCACTCAGACTCACCTTATCTGTTTTTGCTTAGTCAAACTTTTTAATGCAACAAATATGCTACATGATGGCACAACATCCTTGTCATCACGTGACGACTGACTTCGATTTCAAATTTAATTTTTTTATTTGCAAAGTATTTCACACAAATAACACTTAACCAAACGTGGAATTTACTTTAAAAATGAACATTACACTAAATACAATTGATATGGGCTTTCTCAACGTATTTAAATCTAAAATACGCATGCACAGTTCGTTCAAAATCATATACTTATCACTTTGTGAACACGCATTCAGACGTTTCTGCATAGTCTGAAAAGTTTGCCTTCATTACAACTTTCCATTTTCCTTT